CGGCCCAAAACGTGTGTATTTCAATGAGAGCATTTTCGACCTTGACCCCCACTCCCTGGTTTATAGGGAGGAGGGTGTTCTCCAGCTAATAGGGATAGGGTGGCAAGGAGGCAGGGGTAGTGGGGTCCAGCAGCTGGGGGAAGAGGTCGAGCGCGGGAGGCCAGCCGGCGCCCAGTGGCCCTCGGGTGGACCGGACTTGGAGGAGGAGACCGGGGAGGACCAGCGGCGGGAGGGCCCCCGGGCCGGGACGGGCGGCAGGGCCCCGTCGCTGGTGGGCCGGAAGTGTCCCGGACTCGGCGGTGCAGCGGGCGTAGCTGGAGGAAAGCCTGCCGGAACTGACGGCAGAGTGAACGAGCGCTTCTCCGGTGGCCGAGGTTTGGCTGCTGAGCTGTATGTCTGCCGCAGCAGCACCAAACTGACTTGAAATCCACGGTTAATAATGTACCCCGCAGCAGGGCTCTCGAGGAGTACCGCCAGGCTGCCGAGTCGCCACGTTGGTCCTAATGCCATCGTGTGATCAGGTGTTCGGCACAGATGAACTGGGGCCTCCAGCCCGAGGGCGGCATCTCGCAGCGGGCGGCGTCGGTCCCGCCGCGGGTGCCGGACGGGGAACGTTACGTCGGCGCGGCGCGCGCTGAAGATTTCTTCCTCGGACTCCGTTGTCAGCGAAAGGGTGCATCTACGGTCTCGCTTCGCAAAACCCAACTCGGCCCCACCCGTGAACGCGTCGGTGAGGCACCCTAGCTCGCAAGAGCGTCTCTCGTCGAGGTCTGTTGGGGCCAAAACGTGCGCCGAGTGGGCGCAGGACTCCCAAGCCGAACAAGAAAGACACGGGCGGCCTCGACGGAGCGTGCCGGAAGGAGGCCAGGCATGCAGGCAGGCAGGGCAGGCCAAAAGAGAAAAAGGGGACGCCCGGCCCCGCCAGCGGGGACCGAGTGCTGCCGGCCCCATGGCAGATCTCCGAGTGGACTGCTGGAGAGGGAGCGGGCGCCCAGGGCCGAGAGAGAGGGAGAAGAGAGCCTGCGCGGACGGGCTGCGGAGGGGGCCCCCCTTCCTGGCAGCCGCCGAGGCGCCGGGTGGGCCCCGATAGCCGAGAGAGAGAGAGGCAGAGGCCTATTGCGAACCCATCGACCTCAGGTCGGGCAAGAAGACCCACTCCATTTAAGCATATCACTAAGCGGAGGAAAAGAAACTAACCGAGATTCCCCCAGTAGCGGTAAGCGAAGCGGGAAGAGCCCAGCGCCGAATTCCCGGGCCCCCAGCGGGCCCAAGGGAACTGTGGCGTGAGGAAGTCTGGTCCGGGGCCGATGTACTTCTGATCGAGGCACCCTGTCGTCCTGTGGCGGGTGTCAGGCCCCTGCAGGCGCCGTCCAGCCGGTGACTAGGGCTTCCGGGAGTCGGGTTGTTTTGTAGCGCAGCCCAAAGGCGGGTGGTAAACTCCATCCAAGGCTAAATACCGGCCCGAGACCGATAGAGCACAAGTACCGTAAGGGAAAGTTGAAAAGCACTCTGAAGAGAGAGTTCAAGAGTACGTGAAGCCGTCGAGAAGCAAACGGGAGGGCTGCACACATCGGGCCGGAGAGATTCAGCGCGGCCGGCGCGTTGTCCGCAGCACCCCCCTAGCCGGGGTCCAGGGGCGCCTCTGCGCCCGGCTGCGTGCACTTCTCCCGGGCGCGGCGCCCGCGACCGGCTGGGCACCCGGGCCCGCATAGGCCGGCCTGTTGGGGTTCCTCCGGCCACCCCAGTTCCCCCGACCGGGGGGGGCGGTTGGAGAGCCTAGAGACCGGCCGTGGTCGCGCCGGCCGCCCGGCCGAGGAAGGGACGACGGGCTGCGCTCGCCCGCGCGCCGCCGCCTCCCCGCAGCGGCCGCCCGGCCGGGCCTCCCGGCCCGCCGGAGGGCCCCGCCCGCCTCGACCGTCCCAGGTGGCGCCAGGCCGGCGGTCCCCGTCCGGGCCGGTGTCGGCCGCGCTGAGGCGCCCAAGGTCCGCGGGCGAATGTCGCGAGCCCTGCCGATCCGGCATGAAACTTTAAATTGGTTGGCTCGAGGCAGGGTCCTCAATGCACGGGCGCCCAGTGGGTCATTCTTAGTAAGCAGAACTGGCGCTGCATGATGAACCGAACGCCGAGTTAGGGCGCCGCATTGCGGCCGACGCTCATCGGAGCCCAGAAAAGGCATTGGTTGATACAGACAGCAGGACGGTGGCCATGGAAGTCGGAATCCGCCAAGGAGTGTGTAACAACTCACCTTCCGAATCAACTAGCCCTGAAACTGGATGGCGCTGAGCGTGCCGCCCACACCCGGCCGTCGGGGCAGAGAGCGAGTGGGACCGCCGCCCGGGTGGTACGCCCCGGCGAGTAGGACGGCCGCCGCGGTGTGCGTCGAAGCGCCGGCCGCGAGGCCGCGTGGAGCCGCCACGGGCGCAAATCTTGGTGGTAGTAGCAAATATTCGAGTAAGATCCTCGAGGGCCGAGTGGCAGAGAAGAGTTCCATGTGAACAGCAGTTGTACATGGGTCAGTCGATCCTAAGCCTTAGGGAAAATCCGCTCCGAGCGGGGCTGGGGCCTTG